CTGGGAGCTAGCTTTCTTCCCATTTTACAGATGAGGAAACAGAGGTTTAAAAGTCATTGGTCAAGGTTACCTTGGCTGTATGTAGCCAATTTCCTTGTTTTTTAACACTACACCAGGCTGTTCATTAAGCCTGCAGGTTTGGCTGGCTGCTTAGCTCAGCTGGCTAGAACGCAGCCTTATAAACCCAAGGTCATGAGTTTGGATCCCCATACTGGCCAGCTGCAAAAAAACCCCCTTTTTCTAAATGCTGATCCCTGAACTCCATCCTCACCAAGTGTCAGGGAGCTGCATGTTGAGCCGGCCACTGGGCCAGTGTCAGACCTTCCCTGGTACTGGCCCTGCTTGGTCATCACACGTGCCTGGCTGTACCCCTGGCTCGGTAAGGAAAGTGTCCCCACGTACCTACCATTGCACCCTGCTGCTCAGCACTGCAGAATTGCTGAAATGGAAAGTAAAAGAATCAGAGCTACTGGACAGGAAGAGGGTCAGAAAAGCCTCAGACTAGCTAGCAGAGCCACAGGGGAGAAGAGAGCTCTCAGTCGAGTCTGAGAAAGTCCCCAAATTATACCCGCAGGTGTGGAAACACTGGGACACACTGGACAGACCTCACTGAAGGCAGTAAAAATCAGAAGCTTTAAAGATATTCACATACTTTGCTCTTGAAATGCTACTTCTCAGAATGTGTCCTAAGAAAATAATAGAAGATTAGAAGATTTACATAAAACATGTTTGTTGCAGTTTATAATTGCAAAGAATGTGTCCTAAGAAAATAATAGAAGATTAGAAGATTTACATAAAACATGTTTGTTGCAGTCTATAATTGCAAAAAATAAAAATAAAAAGTGAGAATGAATGAAATGCCTGACCATACTGATCTATTCATCTGATGGGGACCATTAGAGAACCACTAAAATATTCCAAAGAATATTTAATAACATGAAAAAATACATGATGTTGAGTTTAACAGAATGTGAAACTTTACACATGTAATCATGTGATATAATTATCTTATAAAATGTGTGTATAGAACAGACTGGCAAGAAATATCACAACACAGTCAAGGTTTGGAATCTTTGGATGGTGAGAACAGGTGATTTTCACTTCCTTCATATTTTTCTGCATTTGTCAAAGTTTCTGTAATAAACATGGACTGTGTCTGTAGTGTTGTTTTAGGCTATTAATTTTTGAAAGGGAGATAATGAGCATCCACACATAGACAGATTTGCTCTCCCTCCTGGCCCTCCCGAAGGTAGAAGGTGCTCTCGGGGGACAGAGGGAGCAGACAGGGCCCAATTGCTCCTCAGCCCCTCCAATGCGCCTGGTGCCCAGAGAACACAGCTGCTGGGATGTCCTTTTGTTTCCCTCTCGACTTCTTAAGAGCCCGCTTTGCCAGGCATCTAAGTCGGTATTGAAGCCTGATGGTGCTGCAACCCTCGGAGGGAAAAATCACCACCCAAATGCGTGCAGATAAACAACCTTCTTGCAAGATGTTTGTCCACATCAGGGCGCCAGTGACGCAAAGAACTCCCGCTGGGGGCTGACTCATGGGCAGGTGGGGGTGGGGCTGGGCCATTCTGCTGATTTCAAATCCTATAACAACACAGCGACCAGCTGTCCCCACCTCCCACCCTCTGCTCCCCCTTCCCTGCGACAGCAGCGGGAAAACGCACAGCCTGTGTTCTGGAAACCCATCCTCCCCAGAAGGGAACACTGTGGCTAACTGTCTTGGATTAGGACAGAAAAATCAAACATCTGAAGACGCCACTGCTCATTTCAGCTGAATGGGATGGAAATGCTGAATTAGCCAAACCAAGGAAGTCTGGCCCAGAGAATTTCCCCAACCACGCATATGTCAGCAGTTCATGCAATTATTATGGAAACCTGGTGACCTGATTTCCTTGACCTTTTTCTTTCAGAAACGTCAAGGTTTTGGCTTCCACGTTTAGGGCCAATGGAACTAGGTAGGAGATAGGTTTTAAAATGCTATGGCAAACCCTCGTGCCTCATGGAAAAAGATGCTCCAAAAGCAAACTGGGAGTTCCTGCACTTACCACAAACACCTGGGGCTGCAAAGAGGTGCAGACCCCAGAC